CAATGGAATGTGAGGGTTTGATGCGTGTCTCCATCCTGTAGGGGGGTCTGTTGTGAGACATAGATCCTACACAGCAAACCCACTGTGCGATGATCATGCTGTATTTCTGACACTGTCAGAAAATTATCGTAGACTATCTTTGGTCGCAAGACTGTGACAATGGCCGTCTTTGAACCTCTCTCACTGTACGACACGGGACCACTGATTAGGAGCCACGATCACAAAAAAACGCCACAATTGTTTCACGATCAAACCCACTGTGCGATGATCATGCTGTATTTCTGACACTGTCAGAAAATTATCGTAGACTATCTTTGGTCGCAAGACTGTGACAATGGCCGTCTTTGAACCTCTCTCACTGTACGACACGGGACCACTGATTAGGAGCCACGATCACAAAAAAACGCCACAATTGTTTCACGATCTTTCATCTGGGACAGCTGAATATTGTGCAGTGTGTTTTGGGCTTTAAATGACCGGGAAAAGATGCAAGTTGGATTCGAACCTAGGTTGCCCACACATGATTGCCATTGCCTCAGAGCATTTGACCTTTTATAATATAGCAGTTAGGATGCTGTTTGTGTGCTTGGATACACTTTAGAAATATGAACCGTTAAATGGTTAATTGTAAGTTACCTTATACAGTGAAAAAGTACATTAGGAAAAAAAACTCTATAATAGAGTTTTTAGAGTAAAAAAAAATATTTGTACTCTATAATACTGATTTTACTGCATAATACTGCAAAACAGTATGTTTTAAGAAGTAAAAAGTATGTATTACCTTATAATGTTTATGGTGAAATTCAATAATAAATTCAGAGCAAAAATAAATAAATAAATAAAGAAATTAATTAAACTTCACAGTTGTTATTAAACAATCTGCAGAAACTAGTCTAAAATATGGTAAATGTTGTTAAACCCAGTAAGGATTCACGTGTTTATTATGTTTGGTCATTGAGCTGGATTAAAACACATTATTTACATGAGCACCAAGGCTTAACGTGCATGAAATGTGCATAAACTACTAGGCCATGCCTCCAACCTCACACATTCACACTGAGTGAAAGATGTGCATTTCTCCTCACATGCTTCAACTTCTGTTCAATTTGCTTCTTCCTTCATCTTCTTTGAATCTGCATTCAACAAGAAGAGATAAAGCCAAGACGGGAATGAACATAGTCAAAGCATTCATGGCGATATGACACCTGAAATACCGCCTGAAACCATCATTGGTATTCCAGAGGGACTGAAAATGGTTTTCTGCAGTCCATCTCTGGTGTTCTCTCGAATTTTGTATTTTTTTCCTCCCTTTTCTATTCTTCATTCTATCAGTTTGAGAGCAGGGGAGGCGGGGAGGAAGTGTGCTTAAAGGGAAATCCTCTCTGCTTTGTGGCAGAAGTCACAGACTCAGGCTGGCTGACGGAATGACAGGACAAAGCAGATATCCAGAGCGTGTCCCTTACCACGGCAATTGCGGCAACTTCACGCACTCCGTGTCATCGCATTTGCGAGTGCAGCGTGGTGTGACAGTAGAAAGATGAGTGTCTGAGGTGTCTACCTTTTTTCCCAATCATCCAACAGATAGGGTGAATACAAAGCTCTGCAGAGTCTGAAATCCTGACAGAGTGAAACTACCAAATTTGAGCTTGGGAGAGCAGAAGGTAATGTTTTCCCCCCAAAGACTCTGAGGCTAACTTATCTCAGCCAAGAAAATTGATAGAACCCAGACTGCCCCCCACTGCTACCAGTATGGGTGGCAGTGATTTCTTCTAAAGTTGTCTAAACTCAGCAAGACTTTATTACAATGAGCAGTAGGCACGCGTTTGGTCTTGAAGGCCAATGTGTGAACTACAACGTAGCTGATACACTTTTTGGCTGGGCACTTTGGGTTTGAGCGTGTGTGGAGTGCTGATAACAGGCATAGTAGCTGCCAATCGCAGATTGTCCGATTAATCCAGATGAAAAGCAAACTATGGACGGTAGTGAATGGTGTAGAGCGAGGCCTCAATCGGTTGGAGGCGATAGTCTAAGCCTCCAATCTCAACTGGTGGGTTGTGATAGCGACAGCAGGGATAAACAGTGCTACATGCTAATAATTCAAATAAATAATACACAAATCAAATGGGAATGATAAAACTTTGACACACAGAAGTGAAGCCACAAGTGTCCCACTGATGTGCACAGGTGATTTTTGTTGTTGTGCATCCTGAAGCAAAACCAGTTGACAACCACTAGTCTAATGTATAATTCTAATGTTCCTAATTAATTATACAAGTCTTGTCTAATGGCCGGGAATCCCTTGAATGTGTGGTTAGCATACTTCAAAACATGTCATTTTCTGTCAAGGTTGTGGGACTACTTCTACTGAAATTTTAATTCACATCCCCCTGTCTACCCACTACCTGTTTTTCCCATCTTTACACCTGTTCGTGAAGTGTATTGTTTTCTTTTAGCGAGTGATCTTCGCAGCTTAATAAGATCTGACTTCTGTTGACGTAAAAGTTTAGAGTTTATGCAAATATAGCTGACAGGGATAGGAAGCGCAGGAGGTGTACCATCCCTCAGAGCATCCGCAACCTTGTGTTTTCACAATATGTTTTTTAAACTGTCATCAGCTCCTTGCGACAAGTCCAGTTACAGCTTCAAAACAGAAAGAGAGAACTGCACGAGTGTTTCTGATGGAAATAGTGTTGTTCCCAGCTGGTTTGTTAGTTTCAGATGGCACACCACCCACAGTCCATTCACTGACCAATGCACATTGAATACAAACATCTCTTCCAAGAACCAGAACTCAATCAGCATTGAGTAAATGAGCATTACTACAATTTCTCACAGTCTTACTGTAGTAACAATAACTGGTTTTGGGACAGGAATGTTAAAGTTTTATATTAATCTAAACTTCCTCTTTCAACAGGCAGTACATCAATACACTGAGGAAAACGGCAACTTGTTGAAGATATTTTAAAAGAAGATGGGTCGATGAAATACACACTTTTGAGATAGAAATATTCTTAATCTGCAATGGTTAGTGGCAAAGGTTTGAGGCACTTTGTTGTAGTAGCAAGACAGCATATTTCATTTTGTATACTTTAATATTTTTGTGAAATAACAAGGATGTATAACTTTCGAATGGATACACTGTTCTCTGTATAAGCCAACACAAAAATTGGCTTACCAGAAGGTCTCCTGCTGTCTAAAGCCCTATTCCGATGGTAATTTTTTTCTCATGTGGACATCTGAAAAAGTAAATTTACATAGCACCTCAGTGATAAAACTCTTGGATTCGGATGACGATTTATTCACAGTAGAGAAGCGAGTTCAGTAATCCTATGAACCTGGGAACACGCTGCTCACGTGGCCAGTCGTGTGATTGTCTGCTGTAAATAAAAACATCTTATGATTGGGGATTTTTACGTGGGTGGTGGGAGAAAAACATTGGCATTCTGGATTCAGACGGCAATAAAATCAAATGTAATTTGCTGAAAATTGCTTAACCCCCATGAGAAACAATTAACGTTTGAATTGGGCTTAAATAAAACGTAATGTAAAAAGTTAAAATATGTTGGTCACAAGGGAAAAACGTCTAGCTTTGAGACTAGTTGGGGTATGGTGCTAGTCTAGATGGTGTACCAACATTTTTACCGGTGAAGGTGTTCCACCAGCACCCAAAATGCAACATATGCTGGTAAGTAGTTACATTGGTCTTTTCAGTATAGGTCAGGGGTGTCCAATCCTGCTCCTAAAGGATCAACATCCTGCAGAGTTTAATGCCAACCTGCTCCAGCACACCTGCCTGGAGGTTTCTAGTAATCCTGGAGACCTTGATGAGCTGGTTCAGGTGTGTTTAATTAGGGTTGGAGCTAAACTGTGCAGGACAATAGCCCTCCAGGAGCAGAGCAGGACAAGAAACTAGAGAGAGGCCTTGGCAAGTTTTACACTTAGATATAAGGTAAGGCATACAAACAAACATATTCAGGGTTGAGTTGGAATAAAGCCCGAGCTCTGAGAGCATTCATTATCGGACAAAGCGAATGCCGCTTTATTGAGATTACTCTCATAGACTACGCTCCAGAGACAAAGCAATCTCTGCATCGGTTGTCTTGTTTACAGCTAATGGTAACATTTCACAGCCCCTTCAGACGGACAGCTCCAGTGCATTATTGCAGTAATCGATCAGGGCTTCGGCACACGCATGAAAGGCCCATTCATTGCTCCTGGACCACCCGCTGTCGCTCACACGTCACAACAACCCACCTCTCAGCGTTTTAAGAACTGAAAAACAATCATGTCCATGCTATGTGAACACGGTACGTATCATTTTCTTCTCACCTTGGGAGTGACGGTTTGACAGCTGTCTGTCGATTTGATGCCAGGGCCTGCCCCTGATATGCCGCTGTCAGGATCTCTGTGGCGGCCCCGTCAGGCCTGCCAGGGGTCGTTGTGGTCAGGTGAAAGTGTGCCATGGAAAGGTTAGGCCCGGAGCAACACTCTCATTTTGATTAATGGACCTCTCTGTACTCCTGAGTGAGCAATTATCAGAGGATCGGCACACTCATTCATCACTGTAACAGAAAAGCGGCACGGCCCGTGCTGCGCAACCGTACCCAACCAGCAGCACTGCCTCCTTACACCACCACCCCACCGGATCAAGCCAAAAGAAGCGCGGTGCCCGGCTGAGGAGGAAGAGGGGAGTTTAGTGGAGTGGAAAGCAAAGTAGATAAGGTTTCCCTTTGAGGAATAACTCGGCAGCCTCTTGGATTTGCTCTCTGGCTGCGGCTTGGGCTAATAATTGAGCCTCCTGCTTTCATCTACACTGGCGAACGTGGTGGTCCACACCTTGTTTCAGAATACCAAAATGCAAATGTCTACATGATGCAACAGCCCATTAGCGCAATGTGCTTCCCGACACACTAGGTTTGGGTTATTCTGCATCCTACCTCACAAATAATCATTTTCACAGAGCGTGCAACGAAATGAGTCCGTTTGTGCCAATATGCAATGGCTGTCCTCAAGACTGTTTGGCTCTGATACTGTCACATTGTGAAAAAGCTCATTATGTTAATCTGCACATCTATTGAGAACATCTGGCAGATGACATGCATCTTTTACTCACTCTGCCAAACATATTGCCATTAAATGCATTATTACATTAGAAGTCAGCAATCAAATTCGGACTGACACATGATCAATATGCAATTTGCAGATGTATTATTCCTCTGGCCGAGTAACACATCATCGATGAGCCCGTTTGAATAGGTTCACTTAAGCGGACCTCGGTAATTCGCTCAGACTTATCCATTGTCGCATAGCAATGGTTCAATCTGATTGGCTGATTTTCTTCTGGGAGTAAATGCATTTGTTTTTGTTTTTTTTTAAATATTTATCCACCTAGAAATAAAGACATGTTTACAAAGTGCTGGTTCGATGCATTCCATTAATCACTGGATTTGCCTTGGGTATCTTTTTTCTTGAGTTTTGTTTTGAAGCATTTATCAGAAAAGTAGCTAGATATCCATAATCACAAATGTGTATTCTGTATTGCTTTGAGGTTCTGTATTTCCTGGAGTCTATGCATGATTTCCTCCATTTTTTCAGAATTATTTGCTGGTTAGTAAGAGAAACCAGGGAAAATGTGTTTTATGATTGATCAGCCTTGCCCTTGAACTATCAGGAAACCATCAAATGTAAAAATCATTAATAATTTCCATCCTTTAGTATTTGCCATTTTGAATATGTTTTCATTTTCCTGAGCTCATCATAGTGGTCGTGATCAAGTTTCTACATCTAGCTGATCTCAGCGTATACATGGAAACAAGACAAATGAGACTGCTCCTCTTAAACAAGACACTATAAATAATATAAATCACCTATAAAAACTTTAGCGTGTTTTTAAAATGATGATTGGATGGTAAGAAAAAAAAAATACATGTTACAACATTTCACTTAATTATTTGTGAGAATCTGTATTCATTACTGTCCCTCTTTACCTTAACATGTTATAAAAAGCACTACAGTAGTTTCAGGGAAAATTTGATGGACTATGATAATTAATCATCATACTAATATGAGCTAACTTGGCATAAACCATATCATATGACTGTTAGAGCCTGGATTTTTCCTGAAAGTTGAATTGCAGTAGCTGTGCCATAGCACAGACAGGAGATGCATAGGGTAATAGTAATGGTTATACATGGTTTCTAGCTGGAACAAACAAGTCATTTAAATTATACACTGCTCCTCATTTTCACAGTTCCTGTATGGATGAAGCACAGACACTATAATATTTTCAGCTAAAAAAAAAAAAAAATCTAATGAACAAGGCTTGATAAATGTAATGACTTAGATGATTAATTTGAAGAGGATGAAAATTAATTACTCACTACCTCCTAGTGGGACCACTCTCAGAAATATAGTTTTATTAGTAAACCTCCTCAGCCTGTTGGAACGAAGCGCGCCATCATCATTTCTAATCCCTAGACCCAATGATTTACCTGCTATTTACCTCTAACTATTAGTCAATTACTACACTGTCTTGTGGACCAGACCTCTGAGTTAATGGGTTTGGAGGAAGGCCAGGGTGTGAATTCTTTTCAACACAGTCTAATGGGCTGTCTTGCGATGCATTTTTAATGTGCCACATTGAGTGCAAACCTCCTTTGCCAGCTATTGGGGTATTTTTCTTGCATTGATTTTGTCTTCTCTTTTTCCCACCGCACTGATTTTGTCGCACTGAATATGCATGCTAATGCATGCCCTTGATTTTCATAAGCTGATGTTAAGACAGGTGCTTCTCTAAATACACGTTCATTGGAAGACTGTAATGCAATGTGGGATCGTACTGCATGGTTGCTCGTTTTAGTTTCAAGGATGCCGTTTTAGAGTTAAGAGCAGCCCTCAAAATCACAGAGGTGTCAAAGTTGAATCCTTTTAATTGATTTGCATGACCAGAAGTAATTTATTTTCAACAGAGTTGGCAATTTCTGACATCGATTTGTATTTCCATTCTCAGCCCTTTGACAGCCAATTGTGCAGTCCTCAAATAACATTAAGCACAAGCGGTGTGAACGTCCACTAACCAATAATACAGAACTCGACGACCTCCAGCAATAAAATGACTGGGTTCATGCTTGTGTATTACATTTGCATTTAAATGATTTTAATCATTTAGTGTTTTAGCTTCAATACTAATGGCAGTTTTTCACAGACACAGTTAACACAAGGTCGTTTTGTCGTGAATGTAATACACTTACAAAGTCTGGTATAAAAAGCTGCCTATAATGGCTTTCTTGACATCTTATTGCTTTTTAGGAGTGGAGTGAAACAGTTGAGTAAAGATCTGTATTTTGAATCTACATATTGCTTTCATGTCCTCTCTTTCATCTCCGTCTCATTCCCTTTCCTCTCTCTCTCTCTCTTTCTCTTCACTCACTGGTTTGTCTCCATCCGTTGCTCACATCTTTATTTCATTCCAATTTTCACCCAGCACGATGGAAATGGAGTGGGAGGGCTGGGGAGCTGGATAAGATGGAAGTGGCTGAGAGAAGACAAAAATAAAACCCAATTTCAACAATAGCTCAAACCCCTGCCTCTGTGTCTACAGGAGAACGAACTAGCGCACCATCAGCAAGTCCAGGAATTTTGTCTTCCGCTGTAGGGAGTTTTTTAAGCTCTATTTTTCACAGACATCTTTGAAAATAAGGCAAGGAAACAATGACTGGGCCGACTAAACAGTTGTGGCACTTTTGCAAGCCGTATTTCAGTGAGAAAAAAAAGTCTTATTCACTGACCACCTGAAACCTGCTGTCACTAACCAATAATTTTGTCTCTCTTTTTCTTTTTCTTTTTTTAAGAGGCTACAGTGAAGCTGTGCTTACAATGGAAATTAATGTGGCTGGTTTTTAGAAAGTTTAAATGCATAAATGTGAAGCTTATAATTTTATAAAATTACTTACATTAAAGTTGTATACTATTTCAGTTGTAAAGTTGTTGTTTTTTCCCGGTTTTATGGTCATTAAAGGTAAAATAGTTGCAAAATGAAGTATAATTTTACATAGATAATGCTGGAAAACTTTTATTATTTATTTTATTTTTGCCACACTAAAACCATGTTAATGCACATTTTGATTACATATTGTGCATTTTATAATAAAAAAATTTTTTGTGGACATTTATGGACTGGCCCATTCATTTCCATGTTAAGCTTATAATTTATGAAACTTGTCATTTTAAGAAGTCACATTAGTTTATTTTTTTCTGTTAAAAGTTATTTTTCATTATTTGAGCTGTAAAGTTGTTCTTGTCAGTTTTATGGTCATTTTAGTCAGCTGTCATAGCAACTTGAATATAATTTTACATACAACTTTATTTATTTTATTCAGCTGCAACTAAATGTTTAGCAAAAAGAGAGACTGAATAAATATGCTTGATGTCTAAATGTTTGATTTTTTTTAACCACATTGGAATCAAAACTGAGAATCGATAAGAATCGGAATTGGAATTGATACAATTCAAACAATACCCAACCCTAGTTTACACACACACACACACACACACACACTGTTTACATATTGTGGTCTGTTATTTATGCTGGCCCCACTCATTTCCATTTTAAGTGTTGTATTGTAACCCTTTTTTAAGAAAAGAAGGGATGAGTCAAAAATAAGAGTACATTGAGTTGAACTTGTACTGAACCTGGAACATTCCTTTAATTTTTAGTGAATTTCCCCCTCTGGGTTTCTTTTTCCTGCATGGAGTTACTACTCGATTAGCTTTGCATGTCCAACATGTGAAGCCTGTCTGATGTGTATAGAACGGATGGATTAAGAGTGCTTTGTCCATCCTGGTCAGATGGCATTACCTATCAGTGAATCAGACCTATCATCCCCTCAAATGACAGCAAATTACTGCGACGCTGTCAGGTATGAGCTCTAATCACACACGGCTCTCCGAGGGGAATGTAATCACACCCCGGGCCTCACTGCAACTCGGCAACTGGCTTAAAAACTGCCCTCTGACATCCGCAGAAGACCTTTTCACAGAAAATTACCATGGGTTTGCCATATAATATGACATGGGAAAACCATCACGGTAATATCATGGTGTTCTTTGAAGTACTGTGTAAATATCATGGTGTATGATGATGATATAGTACCACGGTGGCCCAAAAAAGTACTTGAGCCACACTTAAAATGTATGAATGACATTTAATTACATATAGCAAAATATTAAACCAAGTGGCGTCTGCAAACAAATGACTTCTAAGATTTTCTAAGAAATAGCTTTAATGTTATTACCCATGTTTTGCAATGACTTTCAGAGCAACTGGTGTGTTTTTAGATTTTAACTAAGCCACTGTCGACAGAGGCGTCATGTTTAGTTTATATGCTTGGACGACTGCTGCAGCAGAGCGCTGTTTGATTTGTTGCCGTGTCCACTCATTATAAGCGTCTTTGGGCTTGTTGTTTAGGCTTGGCTCGTAAAGCGATCCAGTGTATGGAATTGATAGGGACAGGAATTAAAAGGGACAGGTAATTTTGGAGGATAGTAGTGATATTCTGGTCCTGTTTCCAATATAAAGCAATTGGATTTATTCAGGATTATTGTTGTCTTGTTCTTGTTTGGATTTTTTTTTCTTTTTTCTAGCAATTATGTCAACACAAATGAATGACTCAAGCCATGTAACTCGTTCACTGTGATTTCTTGCACTGCACCTACCTAAAACCCAATTTCAACAATAGCTCAAACCCCTGCCTCTGTGTCTACAGGAGAACGAACTAGCGCACCATCAGCAAGTCCAGGAATTTTGTCTTCCGCTGTAGGGAGTTTTTTAAGCTCTATTTTTCACAGGCATGTTTGAAAATAAGGCAAGGAAACAATGACTGGGGCGACTAAACAGTTGTGGCACTTTTGCAAGCCATATTTCAGTGAGAAAAAAAAAGTCTTATTCACTGACCACCTGAAACCTGCTGTCACTAACCAATAATTTTGTCTCTCTTTTTCTTTTTCTTTTTTTAAGAGGCTACAGTGAAGCTGGTGCTTACAATGGAAATTAATGTGGCTGGTTTTTAGAAAGTTTAAATGCATAAATGTGAAGCTTATAATTTTATAAAATTACTTACATTAAAGTTGTATACTATTTCAGTTGTAAAGTTGTTGTTTTTTCCCGGTTTTATGGTCATTAAAGGTAAAATAGTTGCAAAATGAAGTATAATTTTACATAGATAATGCTGGAAAACTTTTATTATTTATTTTATTTTTGCCACACTAAAACCATGTTAATGCACATTTTGATTACATATTGTGCATTTTATAATAAAAAAATTTTTTGTGGACATTTATGGACTGGCCCATTCATTTCCATGTTAAGCTTATAATTTATGAAACTTGTCATTTTAAGAAGTCACATTAGTTTATTTTTTTCTGTTAAAAGTTATTTTTCATTATTTGAGCTGTAAAGTTGTTCTTGTCAGTTTTATGGTCATTTTAGTCAGCTGTCATAGCAACTTGAATATAATTTTACATACAACTTTATTTATTTTATTCAGCTGCAACTAAATGTTTAGCAAAAAGAGAGACTGAATAAATATGCTTGATGTCTAAATGTTTGATTTTTTTTAACCACATTGGAATCAAAACTGAGAATCGATAAGAATCGGAATTGGAATTGATACAATTCAAACAATACCCAACCCTAGTTTACACACACACACACACACACACACACTGTTTACATATTGTGGTCTGTTATTTATGCTGGCCCCACTCATTTCCATTTTAAGTGTTGTATTGTAACCCTTTTTTAAGAAAAGAAGGGATGAGTCAAAAATAAGAGTACATTGAGTTGAACTTGTACTGAACCTGGAACATTCCTTTAATTTTTAGTGAATTTCCCCCTCTGGGTTTCTTTTTCCTGCATGGAGTTACTACTCGATTAGCTTTGCATGTCCAACATGTGAAGCCTGTCTGATGTGTATAGAACGGATGGATTAAGAGTGCTTTGTCCATCCTGGTCAGATGGCATTACCTATCAGTGAATCAGACCTATCATCCCCTCAAATGACAGCAAATTACTGCGACGCTGTCAGGTATGAGCTCTAATCACACACGGCTCTCCGAGGGGAATGTAATCACACCCCGGGCCTCACTGCAACTCGGCAACTGGCTTAAAAACTGCCCTCTGACATCCGCAGAAGACCTTTTCACAGAAAATTACCATGGGTTTGCCATATAATATGACATGGGAAAACCATCACGGTAATATCATGGTGTTCTTTGAAGTACTGTGTAAATATCATGGTGTATGATGATGATATAGTACCACGGTGGCCCAAAAAAGTACTTGAGCCACACTTAAAATGTATGAATGACATTTAATTACATATAGCAAAATATTAAACCAAGTGGCGTCTGCAAACAAATGACTTCTAAGATTTTCTAAGAAATAGCTTTAATGTTATTACCCATGTTTTGCAATGACTTTCAGAGCAACTGGTGTGTTTTTAGATTTTAACTAAGCCACTGTCGACAGAGGCGTCATGTTTAGTTTATATGCTTGGATGATTTTTTTTAACCACATTGGAATCAAAACTGAGAATCGATAAGAATCGGAATTGGAATTGATACAATTCAAACAATACCCAACCCTAGTTTACACACACACACACACACACACACACTGTTTACATATTGTGGTCTGTTATTTATGCTGGCCCCACTCATTTCCATTTTAAGTGTTGTATTGTAACCCTTTTTTAAGAAAAGAAGGGATGAGTCAAAAATAAGAGTAGATTGAGTTGAACTTGTACTGAACCTGGAACATTCCTTTGATTTTTAGTGAATTTCCCCCTCTGGGTTTCTTTTTCCTGCATGGAGTTACTACTCGATTAGCTTTGCATGTCCAACATGTGAAGCCTGTCTGATGTGTATAGAACGGATGGATTAAGAGTGCTTTGTCCATCCTGGTCAGATGGCATTACCTATCAGTGAATCAGACCTATCATCCCCTCAAATGACAGCAAATTACTGCGACGCTGTCAGGTATGAGCTCTAATCACACACGGCTCTCCGAGGGGAATGTAATCACACCCCGGGCCTCACTGCAACTCGGCAACTGGCTTAAAAACTGCCCTCTGACATCCGCAGAAGACCTTTTCACAGAAAATTACCATGGGTTTGCCATATAATATGACATGGGAAAACCATCACGGTAATATCATGGTGTTCTTTGAAGTACTGTGTAAATATCATGGTGTATGATGATGATATAGTACCACGGTGGCCCAAAAAAGTACTTGAGCCACACTTAAAATGTATGAATGACATTTAATTACATATAGCAAAATATTAAACCAAGTGGCGTCTGCAAACAAATGACTTCTAAGATTTTCTAAGAAATAGCTTTAATGTTATTACCCATGTTTTGCAATGACTTTCAGAGCAACTGGTGTGTTTTTAGATTTTAACTAAGCCACTGTCGACAGAGGCGTCATGTTTAGTTTATATGCTTGGATGACTGCTGCAGCAGAGCGCTGTTTGATTTGTTGCCATGTCCACTCATTATAAGCGTCTTTGGGCTTGTTGTTTAGGCTTGGCTCGTAAAACGATCCAGTGTATGGAATTGATAGGGACAGGAATTAAAAGGGACAGGTAATTTTGGAGGATAGTAGTGATATTCTGGTCCTGTTTCCAATATAAAGCAATTGGATTTATTCAGGATTATTGTTGTCTTGTTCTTGTTTGGATTTTTTTTTCTTTTTTCTAGCAATTATGTCAACACAAATGAATGACTCAAGCCATGTAACTCGTTCACTGTGATTTCTTGCACTGCACCTACAGAAGAGCGCCACATCTCTGATATGCATGTCCTTCAATTCCATACGCATGTTCAGTTCAATTCCATACGCTCTCAGTAGAATTATTGTAAATGCGGTTGTTGCTACCTGCATTTTTCAGGAGTTAATTAGAATGTGCTTTTCATTTCTGTAAATTACTGAACTGTGTGTACAAAACAGGTTTAAGCTCTAAAACTGACAACTGAATATAGCTGAAGCGTGTAAGTGGCCAAAGGGCAATACGTTTTCAACAATATACTGTATATACTGTTTTATAATTCAAAAATATTTTTTATTTCCCAAAAATGTTTTGCTTGAAAAACGGTGCCTGAAAAAGGTCTGTCTTTAAAATGATTGCTACTTGGTCTGATGTTTTGTTGTATAATGCAGGAGTGTCACTAGGGCCTACCTCAATGTTTTTCCCCCATAGCTATCTTATTTTCAGCTTTTTTGAAAAATATGTTGGATCTTTTTGTTCCTTCTTTTTTTTTCTTTATGTGTGCACTGCAGTAATTCAAATCACACTGCCAATTACATTAAAAAGGCATTATTCAATTTTTTTGATACATTAGGACTGTAACGGGGCTGACGAGACGCGAGACGTGTGGATCCATCTGCAAGCTTTTATTAAAGAGACGTGGTATAACAGGCAGGGTCGAACAATGGCAAACAGGTATATGGCGGGCAAAAACACAAGAATAGTCCTAGGGCTAGCGTAGGTCACCAATCGGCAGACAGAATCACAGGGGCGAGACGAGAGTGAAAAATCCAGGAAAACAGGCAAAGATTAGAAACCGCAAAAACAGGCAAGGCAAAACAAGGAAAACACGGAGACTCGGAAAGGGGTACAGGCTAAACAATACTCAGCAGAGAAAGGTGGTTAGAGTGGGTGTTATATAGTGAGTGAGGTGATTAGAAACAGCTGTGTTCAATGAGTGCAATCAGTGCAGTGTGCAAATCGTGCAAAGAATGATGGGATATGTAGTTCGGGGTGCTATGCAACAGTTTGTGTTGTGCGAGAGTCAATGTAATGGAAAGGGTGACCTCTGGTGGTCAATAAACGGAAGTCCATGGACCGAATTCGTGACAAGGACAGACAAACTCCTCTTTTTTGTTGAATGTTGCACATGTAATAGAAGCCCTAAAATTAGTCTGTGCTTGAAGTGGGCTGTTACCATACTGAATGCGCTAAACAACATTAGTTATTAGTTGTACCTTTTCTGTTCACAATCCTTATTTAGCAATTTATTGACAACATTTTTTTATTGACGATATTGGTCCTGATAGAACTGACTTAATCTAGAAATCAATACCCACCACTGGCTATGGAACTGAGTAATAATATATTAGCAACTGAAATACATAGATCTTGTGTGTGCACTTTTTCCACTTTCCAGAGAACTCAAAGTGTTGTCCAATGCTGCCTGATTGGGAGTAGATGCAGTGATTGACAGGTCATGACAATGTGTAGAACAGCAGAAGAATCACCTTCCACTCACTTCTGCCGGACAGAGAGAATCAAACATCACACACTGAGAGTGAAGGTAAAGAATTAATTAAAGGACTTAGACAAACTCTGACTTGGACAATAACGAATCCAAAACAATAAAACATTTATTTACCAACACCTTTGCGTCTCTTATACGATCTCAAGCTTATAAAGCTAATAAATGGTCATCTTTGAGTTTAAAGATTGGTGTTACACACATGTTGCTCTGCCTCATTGTTGACTATAATCAAAACATGCCATTTAATGAGTGTTTAAAATGTTTCTGTTTCACATCCTATAAATATTACAGTAGGCAGTATGTACTGCACAATCTACTGTTTCGCTCATTTGTGTTGTTACAGATGTGCCTTGCTTTGTTCAGCAAATGTAAAACCATCTGTTCTTTTTGTTCTTGCTCTTTTTGTTCAAGGCTCTCATGTGTATTTCATTCGGAGTGGTTTGTATCTGTGATTTGTTCCGTTGTTCACTGAATATCTGCCTGTGTGTTTTGATTATGGTATTGGATTACCTTCATTACTCTGATGGATTCTGATTCCAATATTATGTTTGTGATTTGGAACATGGACTAAAACACTCTACTTGGATCCTTCAGACTGATTACATCTTGTGTTTTTTCTCGTGCTTTGAAAAATGGGCCAGTGAGCGAGAGCAGCCAGAGAAAACCGGAATAATTATAAGCCTCAGAGAAATGCTTGACCTTTGATTCTTGACACACCAAATATTCAGGGTATAATTAAGAGATAAAACATTTCAGTGCAGCAACCATGTCATCTTAATCCCAAATGGCCATCATAAATTATTCTCTCTTAATGATTAAAAAATATTAAAAACACTTCTTTTTTTTTCTCTGAGACAATTATCATCTGATTATGCTGCAAATGCTATTAAAAATGACAAAAAAGAAAGACTCCATATTCATCCTTATTTGCTAATGTCAGATATCTTTATTATTTTACATTTTTGAGTGTAGAGTTCATCTATTTTTAGCTGGATGAATATTTACCCCTGAAGGTAAAATGCTACAGCTGTAAGGGTTTTTGTTTACGTACCGCTATAAGACAGATAGCTTTATATCCACAGTGGGGAAGATCCTTATTTCCACACTCACAGTCGACAGGTTTATTATTTTACAGTCTTAAAGCAAAACAATCCACCACAATTTGGAAAATAATCAAGCGTTGTGATTTATTAGCCTGTCTGTCTAGTGCACATCATTTAAACCATTATTCAATATTATAAATTAGATTTTCGCACTAGAAGTTTTAGAAGAAATGTTAATGATAAATGCAAAGTTTTGATACCAGGTGGATGCCACATCCAATTACACGACTGGCTCCAATTTATGAAAGGAAAAAAAAAAGAGCTTAATTAACATTTCCAAATGACTGCAACTATTTTAGGTTCTGGAGTGTCTGCTTTACAGCAGAATTTGGATGCATGGCCGTACCCAGACTTTGAAAATTAGTCAAGGCTTTATAATGGCAGTGAATGGCTGCCACGAGTTTGAAGCTCAAAAAAGTGCATCCATCCATCATAAACATACTCAACATGGCTCTGGTGGGTTAATAAAGGCCTTCTTAAACAAATAATATTTTACACTTTATAAAGTAAAATAATGAACTTTAGGGTCAAACAGCCATACAGATTATACACCCCGATTCGACTGGTGATATGATCGGGGTTGGTGTTAAAGAATTGTGTTATAATAACCCCTACAAATACAACTCATTATATACACTATAAACACTTTAAAGGAGACAGACATGTAGATGTTTGTGAAAGATGTTTTCTCTGTTTTGGAGGGATGATTATTTTTAAATCATACCCTATTTATTGCATCAAAATGTGTTAATACTTTACTATATTTAAGGGTGGATAATTTTATCAGCTGTTTATTGCAACAATACGCAACTACAATAACTGTGTCTAGTGCTCTTATGAAAATGTATAGCATGATTTGTGAAAATGTAACTATACTGAATGCCATGGCAATGATGGCATAGACTTCTTCATGCTAGTTTTTGCATATTTAATTTCATTCTGTAACCTATTGTTCTACAGATCTGTGTGTACTAGTGTTAAATGCTACTGTTTTTGACAGCGTTGATAACGTTTATGACAGATAATATCATGATAATTTTTGCGTTTCCCTTACCGAATGTCTTATACTGTCAGCAAAAACCTGTCCATGGGCATTTTTGACTGCTTTCAAATTTAAGTGCCTGCGACCAGCAGTGTTGCCAGATATTGATACAAAAAATAAAAAATAAAATAAAAATTAAACCAAAATTATTTTCAATCTTTTGCAAATAAGATAAGATATCGCTGACTCTAAACTGCAACTTCCTATTTTATTAACTTTCTAAAGTGTTAAATTAAGTGGAAAAGACAAGTCCAAAAACGCTTATAATAGCTGGATCTGGCTACACGGAGGCTGCGCCGCGCCCTCACTCAACTCTCTCAAGCCACATTCACTCCGTCAGCGTCTCGCAGCGATCATTTTCATACCACGGACGCTAAACATTCTTGCAAACTGTCTAAACTGAATTATACATGTCATGCAGGCATTCATATGAGGAGTTTAACAGAAAATTAGTCATTCAAAGAACAAATGTTATTTTTGAACATGAAAAATTTACCGAGGTCCGGACATCGGTGGCCTCATACACTCTAAAAAATGCTGGGTTGTTTCAACTCAACTTTGGGTCAAATATGGACTAACCTAACTTTTGGGTTAAAAATTTTATAAAAAAATGTAACCCAACAGCTGGGTTAGTCCATATTTGACCCAAAGTTGGGTTGAAACAACCCAGCATTTTTTTGAGTGTAGCTGGTTACGGGCCTATTTGGATGGCCTCTTATTTTTTAAGTTTGCATCACTGATTCTGTTTCCTTCCTGTTTAGTATTGTGCAAAGTATATTGTATAAAGCTCTACATAAACAAAGTACTTGGATTAGAGAGTACAACTATTTAACACTACTGTCTTTCAAAATGGAATTACATACTGGAAAGGTACAGTCACATTAGCAAAATTTTGCAGACAAAAAAAGGCCCATTGTCATTGCATGTTGTTAGCTCATACAGAATTAATTTTCAAACCAGACATCTTCCTGTTGGTCAATTCAACACGATGAATTTGTGTTATCAACTTGAACTGAAATCTGCCTGGGGAAATCTTTTGCTCTCAAGAAAATTCCTTATAACTTGGTTTCCTATTCGAAAATGGAAATTTTAGTCAGTTCGTTCTGGGATTACCTTATCTGCTAAGGATAAATGCAGTGCTGCATCCTTTTTGGAACAGCATCGGGATTCGTATTGGGGGAACGCTTATACATGTTGCAGATCACTAGGTTTTGGAACAGAGCAAATGTCTTTGTTTCCTTTTTAATTTGAGAAGGCCACCATTGGATGAGAGATCTGGAATAAATGGTCCACAGGAGACTGTGTTCTGAAAAAGAAAGAAAAACAGTAAGTGGATGAGAAATTTCAGCAAGTCACCTTCACATAATCTGAAATAACAGTGAAGCTGTAATATAATAATATAAGAGCTGTAACAGCAGAGCACAGAAGTGCTATGTTTGCTATGTTAACAAGATATACCTGGTGGGCTTTTGAGTCTAATAAAAATTCATGTTGCAGTTCTTCTTTAATCATGTTTACACACACACACACACACACACACACTTTAGGCAATCGGAACACGATCTTACACTTGAGACATAAACATTGTATAATAGTATACCATATATTCAGACAGATGGCTCACTCACATTTTTTTTTTAAGTCTAAAGATAAGCAATCATTTGAAGTTCACTTTAATTAGGATAGCACCAAAGTAAAGTTTTTTTACCTTGTAATTAGAATTTGTACCAGTTTGTCCGATTTGACTCCTCTAACATTTTTTTACTTACAGTACTTACTTAATTAATTAAATAATTATTATTTGATTTATTTTGAGGAGCTACTGCCTGTCTTGCCTCCTATTTACCATGCAAAAGGGGTTTGTATTTATTCATTTATTTGAAATAAAAAAGTATTTTAATTTGACTGAGACTGCACTTGTTTGATCAAAATTACAGCAAAAATATGCTGTAATATTATCACAAATTGAAATAACTGTTTTTATTTGAAAATATTTTCAAACATAATTTATTCCTGTGATGGTAAAGCTGAATCCTCAGCATCATTCCTCCAGTCTTCAGTGCCACATGATCCTTCAGAAATCATTCTAGTATTCTGATTTGCTGCTCAAGAAACATTTCTTATTATTATCGGTGTGGAAACCGTGATACATTTTATGCATGATTATTTGTATTACGTAATACAAGATTATTTAATTAATGTTCTCGTTTACACTTTATTTTAAGGTGTCCTTGTTACAGTGTAATTATACATTTAAGAACTGAGTAATATTAATTAACTACATGTACTGTATGGTTAGGGTTAAGATTAGGGTTTGGCTTAGGGTTACTTGCAAGTAATTATGCATAATTTATTGTTATTATAATAGTAAGTACACGTAAGGATACCTTAAAATAAAATAAACATTTTGAAATGTCTTTACTTTCACTTTTAATCATTTTAATGTGTCCTTGCTGAATAAAAGTATTTTTTTCCCCAAAAAAATTCCCAAACTTTTAAATGGTAGTGTAAAGACATATAAATGAGTCATTCTGGGTACTTACAGACAAACATTCGAATACACATGCCACACATGGCAACCACGCTGGCGATGTTAAGAGCTCGACCGCACTCTGGACTCATCAGACAGTTCTTGGTGCTAATGCAACATCTGCAGCAGCAGCCCTGCCTGTTATCAGCAGTGCGGCTCTGACTAGTGTTGCTCGTGTGCTGCTCGGTTATAGCTTCTTCATAGGATGGTGGTGGTCTCTTGTAATCCTCCTCCATGGCTGGTCTCCTGCAGGACTGAGGGAGGATGAGACAGTTACGCTGTCACTCACGGATGCGGAGAATCAATCGATTATTATGTTCCAGTATCTGAGAACAGCCTTTCATTGTCATTAACTGATATGGAAATAAATCAATGCTCTATGGATCACGTAAGCTTTATCTGAACTCTGTTGACATGGAGAATGCACAAGTCAGAATGTTGTTTTGAACAATTAGCTAAACGTGACGGTGCTCGGTTGTTTTTTTGCATTTGGCTTTCGGTGATGACTTAAACGGGTGCAACGAGTGACGTAGTTGTGAGATGAATGCGTCGGTATTAAGCTCAGTCCTTCTATAGAGCAGAGCTCAAGGGCGAAATGTCAGCAAAATCATTCAAAACAAGCACTGAGTTCCTCCTAGTCATCTGTTCCTCTTTCACAGACTCACAGCTTAAAGCTCTTAAAGAAGTAGAACGGAGGACGCTTTTATTAAACAAAACTTTTCACACCAAAAGATCAGATCCAATCAAATAATTTACCCAAGGACAAGGCTGCAGGCGATGGATATGTTTCAGATTACTCAAATTACCAGAGAACTGCCATTTCAATTCAATGTACCTTTGTCAAGCGTCTTCAGACTTTTTTCTTCAATCTTCCTCTCTTCTTCAGTCCCACTTCTGTTTTTTTTTTCTTGAAATTGAGAAGAAATTAAAATCCTCAATCACTGCACTGCCACAAAAGGAGAAAAGAGCATAGAAACGACATTCTCTGCTTCTCAGATGATCTTGTTTACCTCTTTTGTAGCTCCTGTCCTCTTTTCACCTTTTAAAAGTCACCGTCAAATGTAAATTATAGTTCAGTAAGTTCTTTCAAATGTACCCAAGTTGTCTTTCTCGTGATGTTGACAGGGCTGATCTGACGCACGCCTGGGTGGACTCCTAAATATAAATACTGTACCTCTGTGACGGCGCATTCCACAGGGTGTGCAAATCAAGTTTTTCCAGCCTGTCCTCTGAGAGTCAGTCATTCTGGAGCATACCACGTCAAGCAAAGCCTTTTTTATTTTGCACGATTGCGCAAGGGGTTTTACTTTTGAATAGATCCTCTAGATACATTTAACAGATGGCACTTGTGTTCACAGAATCAGTTGTATTTGGCGAATAAATATATACAGTAGTGTACAATACAGTGTATACGCAATATAGCACAGGCTTTATTACAGAGGTAGCAAATGATCTACAAATGCACTTTCAATGAACTTCTTTCATGTTTTTCAGTCTCTTGCTATACAGAGAATGGCATCATGAAGTAGGAGTCAGGTCTTCATCCAGCCCATTAGTTTACATTACATTTATCAGATGATCTAAATCTCCTGGCCTTCTTCCAAATGAGAACCTATAAAGAAAGAAAAGAAAGAAAATAAAAACATTACGTAAAATTTTAATAATTCTTATATTACTCATGCTTTTTTTTTTATCAATTCTGTGACAAAGAACTGCGTTTATTTGGCATCTCTTTCTTTCTCTCTCTTTTTTGGCAACATAAATGTCTACTGTCACCTTTGATCAATTGCTATATCGAGGGGTGAGAACCAGAAGGGTGTAAGTGACATTTTTGGTGAAATTGAGATATATGTATATCAAATGAAAGCTCTTAATGAGCTCTTTCTACTGGCAAAAGTACTGTCAGTTTTATTATTAACAATTGAAATCAGTACACCAAGTCAGATCAAACTATGGGAACATTTTTTGTTTTGGCTCTCCTGTAAAGTTGGTGAAATGTCACTTATGCCTTTCTGGTTCTCACCCCTCGATATATAGGTTAACATGTACTGCTGAATGTACTGATAAGCTTTTATGGTAAACTAAGATATATTTTAATGCCATTGTTATTGAAACTTGTATGTCATGTATTTAAATATTTTTGTAAGCACACATTAGTAACGATGAAGTTTGCAATTTAGTTCCACTTTATTTTCAATAACCCACTTCTGCTAACTATAAGTAACTTTGCAACTACTTGTGAACTAATTCTCATACTGTTAGTTTAGGGTTAGAAGAATAGAAGAATAAGTTGACATGCACTTGCAAAGTTACTTATAGCTAGCAGAATGTCTAAAGTGGACTATCAAAATAATTGTTACCAAATATATTAACTTTTAAAGATATTTTCAAATAATACACTACAGTTGAAACATCTCTTTCTTTCTCTCTCTTTTTTGGCAACATAAATGTCTACTGTCACCTTTGATCAATTGCTATATCGAGGGGTGAGAACCAGAAGGGTGTAAGTGACATTTTTGGTGAAATTGAGATATATGTATATCAAATGAAAGCTCTTAATGAGCTCTTTCTACTGGCAAAAGTACTGTCAATTTTATTATTAACAATTGAAATCAGTACACCAAGTCAGATCAAACTATGGTAACATTTTTTGTTTTGGCTCTCCTGTAAAGTTGGTGAAATGTCACTTATGCCTTTCTGGTTCTCACCCCTCGATATATAGGTTAACATGTACTGCTGAATGTACTGATAAGCTTTTATGGTAAACTAAGATATATTTGAATGCCATTGTTATTGAAACTTGTATGTCATGTATTTAAATATTTTTGTAAGCACACATTAGTAACGATGAAGTTTGCAATTTAGTTCCACTTTATTTTCAATAACCCACTTCTGCTAACTATAAGTAACTTTGCAACTACTTGTGAACTAATTCTCATACTGTTAGTTTAGGGTTAGAAGAATAGAAGAATAAGTTGACATGCACTTGCAAAGTTACTTATAGCTAGCAGAATGTCTAAAGTGGACTATCAAAATAATTGTTACCAAATATATTAACTTTTAAAGATATTTTCAAATAATACACTACAGTTGAAATTACAATCAAGTTCTTTGCTTTTGCTTTATGTTGGGCAACACATAAAAACAAGTGTACTTTAAAGTATGACAAAAGATTATTAAAACAATCATTTAAAATGATTTAGACTTGTAATTTGACATTATTATAAAGTGCGCATTTTAAAAGAAACATAATGAAATCATACTCTCTGAAATCATAAGATTTGTATTATCTGCATGTACAGTTTTCATGCACTTTTAAGATTTGAAGTACAGTACAAGTGCACATTCAATACAATAAAGTGCATTTCTTCTTCACACAGGTGATAATGTAAATAAATAATGTAAAGTGTTACCAATAGCTTGGAATATGCCATCAAATTCTAACATTGGAGCCACAGCAATGTACTAGTTAATATACTCATGGTGGACCTAACACATGTGCACTACTCATTTGTTACTCCACCTACTTTCTCTTGGTTTCTGTGTAGATCTGGGCTGCTGGGTGGTCAGAAAGTCAGCGCAGGAGTCGGCAATCGTGGTGCACGTGTAACACAGCGTGTAGCTGCAGTCGTCTGGGCAGATGAGACAGCAGCCGTCCAGACAGAACTGACAGCACAGGTTACAGCAGCGATCCACACAGGGCTCGTCCCGGTGACAGTTGTCCCCACAGCTTTCCCTGCATTCAGGACAAGGGCCAGACATTCCACTGCAGCTCTGTCCCATGTCTGCTCGAGTTAAACAGTCTCTGCTGATCACAGCAGCCCTCCGACCAAAGAGAATCCCAAATGTGACATAATAAGTGCATTCATGAGTGCGTCATTAGGGGACTGCGTGAAAACGCCAATTTGTCTGCTCATTTTAACTTTCCATGAGCTGAAGAAAGGGATGACAGGCTGTGTTTATTAGCAGTGAGCTTATAAGCCTCAGGGTGGCCCGGGCCACCCCTCCTTCTGCGCTGAGTCAATTATTAGACAGTGTCCCGTGATTAGCAGCTCAACAGAGAACAGTGTTGAGTCCGTCTCCCCTCAGGACGACTGTAGATTGGCTTGCAAAACAGTCGCTTGGGAACTGTTCTGTGTGCTCACATATATACTTTCGCTAAATGTCCGGCTTTTGGCATATGTAGCATAATAACCCACAAGAGACGTCACATTTGAACCAGTCTATATGGGCCGCTTTATCTTATCACAAGCAAGCCCGAGATAATGACGACTTGGGGTACGTTTATTCACCTTAAGCACAGAACAGTGTCAGCAGAATGGAGTATGGGACACGGGACACATTTTCTAGTCCTGACTGCACATTTACATTTTAGGTTGGGGTTAATCGTTTTTTGAAATAACAATGAAACCTTAAGTACTACCATTTTCTGTATCTGCCAAGGTTTTGAATGACCAACTTTCTAAATACATTCATTCAGGTTCTAAATTAATACACATTCCTTACAGACTGAAGGACTTTTCATTTTTTAAAATTTCTTTATTATATAAAAAATTCAGCTGGCACATTTTGAACAGAGCCATAGAGAATATTTTACACTGAAAAGCAAGTAACTACCACTCCTAAAAGATGATAAACAAATAATTAAACAAAGGATGAATGATGCTTTACGTTGCATTCAATTTATATATGTTTATCAGTTCATGATTTCCACTGAGAATCAAACCCTTGATGTTGACGTTGCTAGAATATCAGTGAGTCAGTTATTCTCACGTCAGCCCCACATCAGGAGATTCTGGTTCTATAAAATCAAAGACATAAATGTATTTTGACAATATAACATTCAGAGCCGATCCTCCCTCTACGCAAAATACGCAAGCTGCGAAGGGCCCCCGAAACACCAGGGGGCCCCCTTGCTCTCAAAGCTTATTTAATTTTAGTTTAGTTTTTGAATTTGGCCAGCGGTTATGAAAACATGAATGATCATTTATTTTAATGTGGTGCGCTGTTGCCCTATGCCAGTGTTGCTCCACCCTTTTTGTCTTGTGTATCTCCACAGCATCATAAGTAAGATTCTAGTAATGTTTACCAAGATATGTTTCAACATTTTTCAATAATGCTCTTTTAAACTAAAAGCAATATACAAGATACTGTATACAGTAGAAAAACAAGATACAGTGGAAACTCACCAAGTGAAGCAGTTTAAACATTTGGAAAATAATTTTCTTAAAAAATTTTAATACATTTCTTTTTGCTTGATTTTGGTCTGATTGGCTCAAAATCCACTTTTGACTGTTTTCACTTGTAAATGGTGCTTTATCCGTGCATATTTCTCTACTGATTCAGACGAGATGACTTTATTGATAAAGACTTGTATTTTTGCGGGAAGTAACAGTGTTAATGTTAGTGTTAATGATGGATCTGAGCTTTTCGCTTCAAAATATGTTAATTGATGGACTGGAGTTGTGTGAATTACTTGTGGATTATTATGATGTTTTTATCAGCTGTGTGAACTCTCATTCTGACGGCACCCATTCACAGCAGAGGATCCACTGCTGAGCAAGTGATGTAATGCTACATTTTTCCAAATATGTTCCAATGAAGAAACAAACTCTACATCTCCATCTGGGACTCTTCACAACCCATTGCACTTCTGTAATGCATTTCTATAATACACTTACATTTCTGAGTAAAATGATATTCAATATAAAAAATTAAATAAAAAACTTGATTTTACTTGATGGTGGGACTTGATTTTATCCATTTTAAAGTCAAACTGAATCTGTAAAGTGAGTATTATCAAAATGTTGCCAGGTGCTTTTAGAGAAAGGGTTAAACATTAAGAGGAATGTATCATTTCAAAGGAAAGTTGTTTACATGGTCTAAAATCTGCTCACATACTCACATAGAAAGCGAATGACTACTGATCGTTTTGTTGCTGAAAATCGTTGTCAGCATGAACACCTCTTTAAAGGGACAGACCTCCTTGAGTAACCTGAGATTAAGTGCCTTGCTCAGACAGGGGCACAATGGTGTTAGTCCAGTTTTGAACCTG